GCTAAGTTTATAATTAAGGAAGTTGAACTAAGAACCCGATACACTGAACAATGTGATGCATTTTATCAGATTGCTATGTTACCACTGCTATATCTTATCACTGTATTTTCTTTTATCTATGTTGTCCTGGAATCGGATCATATAATTTCTTTTTCTTTTCTTGATATGGTTGTAAGACTAATCAGTTAAGAAATTATTAATGTTGAATACTTTCCCATTAAAAATCATTTATTCATTACTTCCTCCCTTTTTATTGGTAGTTCCAAGATCCTGACTTTGGGAGCCTTTCTGGTGGAAGAATTGTACGCATTGCAGTCCATCCTGATTATCAAGCGGTAAATTTATTTTAAATTTGACCAAAATACACCTTAGTGATAATTGATGAAACATTATTTCGGTTAAAATAATTGCAAAGTATATGTAAATGGCTGATTTGCAAGATTTGTTAAAACAGTCTTAGAGCTGAGGATCAAACTTAAATCTTAATTGATTTCTTTTTCTTTTTTTACATTAGGAATACCATTCAGTTAATATTAGTTTCCTTTTTTTTATTTTATCCAATTTGAGCATGATTTGCCATTCTGTTTATATCTTCAGTTAATGTACCTTTGGATGCTAGGCCTTGCCTAAATTCTCCATTGAATTATAAAATGTGCCTTGTTTTGACAAAATAATAACGGTCTAATCATATTTATAAATCAATTTTAAAGCAGGATACATGTGGACTGCCTGCATTTGTTTACAGGGTTATTTTTCATGGTTCCTCTATTGTTAGATAAATTGACTTAAATGCTAACAATTTAATTGCATAACATGAAATCTAGTTCTGTTTAGTCTGAAGATATATGTTTTCTTTTCTCTTTGTTAAATATATATATAATATAACCATTTAAAACTGAACTATACCAGCTATTATGGTGCTCTCAACTGGCATTGGAGAGACCCAGATTTATTAATCTACTGTTTATTACTGCAAAGATTGAAAATGTTTTATTTTAAGAAGGAAAAGAAAAAAAAGATAATTATTAAAGGATTCTGATTAATTGAGTATGTGTCATCAACTCAGTTTCATCTTCTGGTGACCACATAGATTTTTCTCCACAACAATTTGTCCCTAACTTGCTCCTTCAGTTTGCAAGTCTGATTGTACTATTCTTCCTTTCCTTCTTATAATTCAGTGAATTAGGGAGGTATCAATCTGAGCTGCTTTTGAAATTATGTTGATGTTCTGGGCTTTAAAAATGCTTTAGCCCCTATTGCCTTGATCTCTGTCAAGATCATCTTACTTTGTATAACCACGCATACTCATGAAAGTCTGTTTTAAATACTATCACAACAATTAACCACCCTGTGCAATAACTGATAAAATAAAACATTTAAGAATCAGAGCCTTTTAAGCACCTTCCTCTAATGTGCTTTCTTCTCAATCTTTCTTGATTTTGGTAGATGGGTTATGGTAGTCGAGCTTTGCGTTTGCTCCAGATGTATTATGAAGGCAAATTTCCTTGTTTGGAAGAAAAGGTTATTCAGAAGCCAAGAGAAATTGCTACTGTGAGCAGTGAGGTATGAAGTTTTCTATATGGGTGCTGGTATCAAGTTGGCACAGAGCTTCATTGGAGTTCTTTAATTGCCTATCCGAGCAGCAGTGAATAAGCAAATTTCAAGCTATAATTTATCAATAGAAGAGAATATTTGTAGCTCAGGGTTGAAACTGTGGGGTCCTTGATGGCTCTCTGAGCTTGGGTGTTGCTCAAAGAGCACCAATAACCCCCACAAGCTTTTATTTGACTCTTCCTCTTTTGTTAAGCTGTTCTCCATTGTTTCAGGCTGTCAGCTTACTAGAAGAAGCTGTGATGCCTCGGAAAGATTTGCCACCTCTGCTTCTCAAGCTGAGTGAGAGGCAAGCTGAGAATCTGGACTACCTTGGTGTCTCTTACGGCTTGACGCCAAGGCTTCTCAAGTAAGCATTTTGCTGTAAACGTGTATTACAATGGGAAAGGTTCATTTTAGTTATTGTGTATTAGTGTATTTTTGCCAGACATGATCTTAACAATGGGTCTAACTAAGGCAGGGGCGTCCAACTGGATTTCTTCGAGGGTTGGATCAGTATTGTAGTTCTCCTCCATGGGCTGGCTGGGAGAAGGGGTGGAGGAGATGGGACAGACTCCTCCTGCATCACCCTGCTGGCCAAAATGTGGCACAGGGGACCTCATGCAGCCCCTATGTGACCCGTTTTTGGCCTGGACGGCCTCCAGCACCCTGCAGGGAGTGGGCGGGGGGCTCATGCAGCTCCCACGCACCCTATTTTAGCCTAGACAGCCTCTTGCAGCACCCTGCTGGTCAAAAGGGGCATGGGGGGGACCTTACACAGCCCCCACACACCTCACTTTTGGTCTGAACAGCCACCTGCAGCACCCTGCTGGCCAAATCAGAGAGTGGAGGGCCTCATGCGGCCCCCACGTGCCCGTTTTTGGCCTGGATGGCCTGCAGCACCCTGTTGGCCAAAACGGGGTGCAAGGGGGTCTCTCACGGCCCCCATGTGCCCCATTTTAGACCTGGACTGCTTCCTGAAGCACCCTGCCGGCCAAAACGGGGTGCTGGCCGGACCTTTGCTATTTCCAGGCCAGCCCCGCGGGCCAGGGTTAAGCATCCTGCAGGCTGGATCCAGCCCATGGACCTTGAGTTTGACACCCCTGAAGTAACTGACTGTTCTTTAGGATACTTGCTGCTTATGGATTCTATGGAATGTGTGTGTTTTCTATTCTGCAGTTTCTATTGGAAACATGGTATTGCATCGATTTTCTGTTGCAATAATTCTACTTTTTCAATTTTTCCCAATCAAAACAATCTTTTTATTTCAGCCGACAGACATTTTAAAGTTTTTCTCATCCATTTTGGTGACGTTGTCCTAACGAGCAGCTTTTATGGCATTTCTGCTTGAGAGAAGAGAAATAAAGGGAATAAAATATTTATGTGAAGATCTTGCTTGAGAAAGACAGTATTATGAAGTGTTGGTTGAAAATGTTCAGTTTTTAAAGCTAGATAGACTTGTCCCCCAGTAGGTTTATATTTTACCATATTGCTTGAGGATTTATTTCTAATACAGAATCCAATATTTAAATTGGAAAAATGACGAACGAACTTTCTCTTGTTCATGGATTAATTTTAATTGTTTTTCTTTCCTCCCAGATTTTGGAAACGGGGTGGATATGTGCCGGTCTATTTGAGACAAACTCCAGTAAGTTTTGTTTCATAGTCCAAGGCCATAACAGGACTTCTGTGATTATTTCTTGAATATCAAGAGAGGAGGGGAAATTCTGTTGGCAAATAATTCCTTTTTTCTTTGTCAGAAAACGGCAGAGTAAGTTTTCTTTACTAGACGGGTGGAATAAAAGCTAATAAGAGGAACAAACATGGACATAATCATACACTTGAGTGGTAGGATTACTGGGTGTATAGATCCATCAGATTCAAGATGCTCCAAAGCTCCCCTGTTTATTTCATAGTTCAGAATCTCAGAATACAGTTATTATTAAGCATTATTTACGCTTATTTGTAGTAGTAGTAAAATCTCACATTTGTACCGATTCAAAGTCTGACATAGCCACCAGAAACATGCTCTCATGGTGTTATAAGCCAAATTACAAGGGTTTTACAAGGGTATTTTAAGAAAAGAAATACAGTGTATTTATTAGTTATTTGATCCAAGTGTTCTTTATTTTGCTATTTATCATTCTTTAACCCCATAAATCTTAGATAAAGAACTCTAAATTCTTTTTTACCCACCCATTTATGGACTGGTGAGATATAGCCAAGGGGAAGATTTTTGGAGCAAATATCCTACTTTAGAAATGGTGATTCATTTATTTAATTAGGGCTTTAAGTAGTGGTGGGGAATTATAAGGCAGAGGTTGGGTAGTCATCTGCCAGAGACATTATATGGAGTTGGATGGAATGATTTCTGAGGTTCCTTCCCAACCTTATATTCAATTATAGAATGTGGGCTCTTAATTTAGCTCATTTAATCAAAATGTTTGGTTAATTTGAGCCAGTGCTGACTCCGTTCTCATGGCAAGGAAATATTCTCTTATCCCTGCTAACTTTTATTTCTGTTGATAAAAAAAATACTTTAATTTAAACAAATAGTTGCTATTTGTTGAAAACATAGCGTGCTAACAGCCCTGGTGGCTTTGTGTCCAGAATGATCTGACTGGGGAACACTCATGCATTATGCTGAAGATGCTGAATGAAGAAGAAGAGAACACAGAGGAGAGCTGGCTCACTGCTTTTTGGAAAGGTGAGTTAATTGAAACGTTTTGTGATTGATTCAATAATCCCTTACATCAGGGGTCTCCAGCCATCTTTAAGACTTGTGGACTTCAACTCCCAGAATTCCTCAGTCAGCAAAGCTTTGCTGACTGAGGAACTCTGGGAATTGAAGTCCACATGTCTTAACGTTACATGCCTCACATGCTTGGGGAAGCTTGGAAAAAATGGCACCATGTCCGTGGTGCTACTTTGAAAGTTTCAGTATAACAGGGAAAGCTGTTGACTAACTTTGACAATCCCGGTTTTCACAATTGATGAGTGAACAAAAGTTGCAAGTTATTTTTTGTTACATCCATGTTTCTAACAAAGGAGAATATTTGTAGCACCGGGTTGACATGGGGGATCCTTGGTGCTCTCTGAGCTTGTGTGTGTGTTTTTTGCAGATGTTTTCATACCCAAACTAGATAACATCATCAGTGCTAATCCTGATGCACTGATGGATGGTACCTAGTTTGGGAAATGAAATGTCTACAAGAAAACGGGCAAGCTCAAAGAGCACCAAGGATCCCTCATCCATGTTTCTGCTGGCTGCCGAATTCTTGGAGTTGAAATTTACACACCTTAAAATAGCTTAGATTGAGAAATATTGTGTTACATGATAGTCCCTTGTTTTTTTCTCGTTGCTCTACAGATTTCAGGAGGAGATTCTTGTCTCTCTTGTCTTACCAGTTCAGCATTTTCTCCCCATCATTAGCTTTGAATATATTACAAAACAGGAATGTCAAACAACAATCACAATCTGGTAAGTATATGCAAGCTCCTGCCAGGGGGTACTTCATAAAACAACTGAAACAAAATCCAGGAAAAAGGTGGCTGTTGAATGAAGAATTTTCATTCTGTTTCTAATAGGCTGAACTTTTAAGCCCTATTCTTTTTTTAAAATTGTGATCCACTTTTCCTTTTCTTTCTTCTTCAATTTTAAATGCGCTCTTATATCCTTCTCTTTTAAAATGAATGAAACTTGGCAATACACTTTAGTAATACTGATTTTGACTATTTGATTGCATACAAATATTTTTCAAAATAATTCATGCTCCTTAGGCATAAAACACTAGTATTTTTATGTCATGTTAGAGTAACTCTTTGCAATCTGTTTCAAATTAGAAGTAACCTACTAAGTGGTTTTCTACTCCTTAATTCCATGCATGATACATTATCTTGTGTTCTCCCTCCCTAATCTAACACATAATAAGAAAAAAAGTATATATAGATTAGCTTTGTCCATGTTAATGTTCTTTAGATGTGTTTCACTTTATCTCCCATACTTTCTAGATGACATAATAATCTGCTGTGCTCTGCAAATGGGGTGCAAATGCCTAACTTCTACCCAAAGGAGGCTGGTTGGAGAGTATAAGAGCCAGGGATAAAGGCATGTAGAGTGATGCAGCTTGATTAAAATTAGTGTACACAGTGAGCTACTGATGGTAAATGACCTCAGATCCTATTTTTGCATAACTGTTTACTTTTTCTTCTATTTATCACCAATTTGCTCAGCTCTCAGCCGTAATGAACTAGAAGCAGTCTTCATCCCTTATGACCTGAAGAGGCTAGAGATGTACTCAAGAAACATGGTGGACTATCACTTGATCATGGACATGATCCCAACTATTTCTAGAATGTACTTTCTCAACAACTTTGGAGATATGTCTCTTTCTGCTACTCAGGCTGTACGTACTACTTATCTAGCTACTGTTGAATTAATTGATGACCTTCCAATGGGCCTTCAATTGATAACCTTAATTTTTTCACTAGCATCTTTTTTCCCTTGATATGTTTCCAAAACGTGTCAAAAGCCCCAAATCTTTATTACACATGTCATTTAATATTCTCTGGAATCCAATGGTAGATTTTGGATGGTTTCATAGTCAGAAGCTTCTTAAGATGAAGTCTAATTAGCTTTGGAGTTATAGGTACAACCAGATATTATTTGGAATCATGAACGCTTCCAGATTTTATTTAGTTCCGGTCTCTGAATCAAATAGTTAAATCTCTGAGAAATTTCTGAGCTTAACTATCGATCAAATTCACTTGGACAATAAATTATTGTGAGTAGTGATTCTTCTAGAGAGAGTTGGCATAATTACCGTTACTAGTAGTTGCTGGAGCCAAAAAAGCAAGCACCAAAGGAGTAGGGAGTTTGATTAAATTTATTCACACCTTACTTTCAGATCTTTGGGGATCCAGGCTTAAAGCAAAAACAGCTTCTTTTGAAACTTAAGTCAATCAAACTATTAACTCAGGAAATGAGATGTCAAGCAGTAGCAGTTAATATCCTTTTACTCTTTCTCTTCCCAAGGAACAATATTGACTTGCCAGCCTCAGCTGAGGAAGTGTAGGCAGTGCTTGTCCTTCACAATAACCAGCTCCCTTTCATTCCACCTGCCCTGAATGGATCAGTTCTCTTCTAAAAAGTGAGCTGGTTCAAGGCCAGGCCTTGGTGAAAGGGTGAATCTCCCTTTTACAATCTTGGATAGAGGAGCCCAGAAGCAGTTTCTTTTGCCTAGGCTTCTTCTGTCACCAGAATGCATCCACCTTCAAACCGCCATTTTCTACTTCTTCCCTCATCAGTGCAGCCTTTAAAATCAACAGGCACTAAGGAAAAGTACCTTAAAAAGGAAAGATCCTTAAGGAAAAGATTCTTAAAAAGGCAGGTGTTGTCCCTTCACCACATTGCCCTCTGCTCAGGCCTTGTAGAGCTCTTTTTGCAGGGGCTTCAACTGTACAATGAGGTGGAGACATCTATCTATATATATATATCTATATATAGCTATCTATATATATTTGTAGTGTCATGGAATAATGAAATCTCTATAGCTGTGACGAAAATGGTAGAAACATGTAAGATACAGAATGTAGATACTGTAGTTGTTAGCTATTATTTAGTATTGAAACAGACTATCACAAGGCATGGCTTGTCTGGTGTTTGAAGTAGAAGGTTGAGTAGATGAATTCTGAGGCTCAAACCAGAGCAAGGAGAAAACAAAGAAGTGACGTGGGTAGATATGAATAGGAAATAGAAAATATGGAACACTAAAAAAAAGGCTTGTGGGGAAGACAGAGATGTGGAGAAAACTGTACCTGCTGTGTATGCATTACGTGTGTTATGGGCCTTTGCAGTTGAGTTATGTTCACCTCTATAAGTTTTGCTAATACAGAAATTGGCTAGATGAGATATTAATGTCATACCATGCTTGCCTAAGATGAAACTTGTCATTCTGCTGCATCCAAGCAAAGTAACCTTTTCTTTTGTCAGGCTCTTCTTCTTGGAATTGGTCTCCAGCACAAATCCATGGACCAGTTGGAGAAAGAGATAGGGCTGCCTAGTAGCCAGTTAATGGGCCTCTTCAATAGGACTATCCGCAAAGTTGTTCAGGTAATGCCCTTTGGGGGCAGCATTTAACAGGATGAATCATATGCCGAAACACAATACTCCAAGCTTCTATTACAGATTCTTTGTATGGAAATGTCTTCAGTGTGTTTTGTAGTATGTAATATGCTTTTTATATCAGTTGTGATTCTTAGAAATTCAATGGAGGGAAATTAGGAAATAAATAGGAAAAAAAATATTGGCAAAAAATTAGAAATTGGCTAGAAGAAATTAAAAAAGTTAAAATTGATCTGAAACCAGAGATGTTTTATTAGGAATTTTAAATAAAAAATTAGTAAAAAAATCATTATATATTATATTCCACATATTAACAGCAGCAAGGCTTGCCTTTGCCCAAAATTGGAAATGCGAAAATATGCCCCCCCCCCCCGACTTTTATGATTATAAAGAAAACTTTGGAATGTGCAGAAATGGACAGGTTGTCAATGGAACTCAAAAACAAAAGAGGAGTCAGAGTACTATGAGATTTGGAATTCATGGTACAGTTGGTTGGAAGGTAGACATGAAATGAACAAAAGAAAGTCAAATAAGAAGGCATGATGGAAATTAGCAATATCACATGCAATCAGATATACATTTGTAATATATAACTAGATAAAACTTTGTGTTATATATTAATGTAATAAGTGGGAATGATTATTCTACATAATTTGAGAGACGTCAAATTGAGTGAACACTTGCTCACGTTGTGATAAGTGGACTGTTTGGCTTTATTGTATTTGTGAAAATATGCTTAATAAAATATTTTTCTAATTAAAAAAGGAAATAAACAGGAATGATATTTTGGCGATAGCAGTATCTTCATAGAAATATTTTTGGGTGGAAAAGCGATCCGTCCCACCATTCTTTGTTCCTTAGTTGTTCAACAGTGTCCAGGAGAAGGCTGTAGAAGAGCAAATGGCAGTAATGAAAGAAGTTGTAATGGAACCAACCCTGAAATCTTTAAATGAAGATTTGGTAACTATCTTTTTATAAGCTTTTCAGTTGTTGGTGTTAAGTATTTACAGTTCCCTCCCCTTTGATTATTTTTGGGGCTATATCTAATGGAATCACGATATACAAATGTGTATTTCATTCATTCACTCATTCATTTGCCAATGAATACTGGAAATTGAGCAAACAAAAACTGGTGCCTTCAAATCTAACTTTTGACCTCTCAGAAGTGTCCAGTGGGTCACTTCTGAAGACAGATGCATTATCTTCTGCTTTCAAAAGCTTGGATAATTTCTGCAATACTTATACATGTTCAGCTGACCAAGTGTGTAAATGTATGATATTATCATGTGTTTAAAACCAGATTTTCCTGGGAATTCCACTTCCCGCTTAGAATGAATAAGTGTACTATCTCATGTGAGATGCATTAAGAAACACCAGGCTCTTTAGATCATTGATTAGCTTTTGTCCTTGGTTTGAGAGTTGTACTATATGTATTCATTTTAAATAACCATGTACAGTGCCTGTTATTTATAATGTGGATTTTCGGATGCAGGAAGAAGCAGCCAAAGAATTTCAAGAAAAACATAAGAATGAGATTGGGAAGCTAAAAGACCTGGATCTTTCACAGTAATTTTTTTTTTGTTTCTCCTTCCCCTGTCCCTGTAACAAATGAACAAACTAACTCTAGGAAAATTAAATGATTTAAGCTATTTGGCCAAAGCATTGACGTTAGAATTCCCCCTGCAAATGGTTCTGTAGTGAAACAAGGAATCCCTCCATATTTTTTGCTCTCTCAGAAAAGAGAAAGAAAAAAACCTACCTTTATACGGGCTTCCAAAAGACCAGCCTTCTCCTGAGGCCTCAGGAAGGTTAAAATTCAGTTTTGTTTGCTTTGAAAGATATTTGCTTGGCTTCAATGAGCCAGAGAATCTCTCTGAAGTGGCTTTGGCTTTGGCCAAATCAGATGCATATTTTTGCTTTATAACATAAGGAGTAGGTCCCTTGGGTACTAATTGTAAGGGACGAAGAGCCCACCCTGGATTTATGCATTCTTTCCTTTCCCTTTTGATGCCTGACCTGCTCCCCCTTCCTTTAATAATGATTATGTGTTGAGTGTGACTGCCTTTCCCTAATTTTGGGGACTGTATAGGATGGATGGGCCAATTTCATTTTTACTGACATAAATATTTCAACCAAAGCTGAATAAATCACGCTCTTTTAAAGCGCAGGTGCAACTTTGCACTTAGGAATTTCATATTTTTTTTTTCAGCTGAGTCAATCAGATTTTTGAGGGCCAGAGAATGATGCTTGCACAGAATTCTGATGTGAGTGTATGGCAGAGGTTACTATTTTCTGACCAGGTTGCCCTTATATTTAAAGTGCTTTTCTTTTCACTTAGGTACATTATCCGAGGGGATGATGAAGAATGGAATGAAGTGCTGAGTAAAGCAGGACAGGATGCATCTGTGGTCAGCCTGAAGAGGTTAGTGTTGGAGCACTCACATCTCGGAGACCTATTATAGCAAAAGCACTTAGACTTACATACCACTTCACAGTGCTTTACAGCCTTCTCTAAGCAGTTTATAGAGTCAGCCTATTGCCCCCAACAATCTGGGCCCTCATTTTACAGACCTTGAGGGATGGAAAGCTAAGTCAACCTTGAGCCAGTGACAATCGAACTGCTGACAGCTGGCAATCAGCAGAATTAGCCTGCAGTGCTGCATTCTAACCACTGCATCCACCACGGCTCTTATCTACTACAAGTAGTCCTTGACTTAGGGTTATTCGTTTAACAACCGTGTGGAATTATGACGGTGTTGAAAAACATGATTTATGACTGAATCTTGTACTTACAACTGTTGTTGGATCCCCACAATTACATAAATTCGGGCACTTGGCAACCAGCATGTATTTATGCCAGTTGCAGCATCTTGGGGGTCATAGGATCACAATTTACAGCCTCTTCTTGGGGGGCTTCCAACAAGCATATTCAATATGGGAAGCCGGATTCACTTATTGACAGTGGCGAAAAAGGTTGTAAAGTTGGATGTGATTCACTTAATACTGCATTGCTTAGCAACAGCAGTGTTGGTGCCAGTTGTGGTCATAAATCATGGACTACCTGTAGTATTCTTTCTGACTCTAGGAAAGTAAGAAATTAGAAATACAGTCTTACTGTTGACCTGCTCTTGGCTGTTGGGAGAGATGCAGATATTATCTCACCAACAGAGAGAAGCTCTTGGCATAGGTTTTTTTTTAAGACTGCGAATCTTGGACATTTATACTACCATCTTTACCTGTTTTTTAAAGTTAGCTTCAGCGATACTTTGGCCCCAGTGTATGGATCGTATAACCTGTGTATTGTATTCTACCTCAGTGATAAGAAGAGAAAAGCAGAAGTCACCACAGGACCAAGACAGGAGAAGAAATTTAAGAAAAAAAACCCAAAGCTGAAGTTGAAGAAATGATTAGAAGGAGGGAAAGCCTCCATCATATGGACTTGGACTTTCTGTTTTGTGAAACCCTGATACCGTTTGCCAAACAAATGAGTTGAAACTATGAGGAAACTTTACCTCAGGAGTGGAAAAGCCTCAAGGAGTTTTTATTATTGTTGTTGCTTAATATGAAAGCAGCCTTCAAGCAACACCATTTGGAAGATATTTTTATTGCTGCCAGCTCAGCATTTGTGTTCCATTAAAAGAGACTGCAGAACAGCAAACTGGATTATTACCAGGAATTATGACTTCAATGTTGCCTTATAAAATCTGGTGGTTTTTCTCTCTCTCCCTCTCCCTCCCTCTCTCTTTCTCTCTCTCCCTCTCTCTCTCTTGGCACATGTGTGCCTATGCAGTTCTTCCCTTTGAGTTCATATTGGAGATTTGAAGAAAAGCTGGCATTCAATGTTAAGCTGTTTAAAAAAAAATCCTGATATTTTAAAATACGGTGGGATTAAAAAGCATTCCATGTTACACTGCTGAAAGTACTTGAGATGCTTGTCATTCATTGTTGTTTATTGATGATAAAGTTACTGGTCTGAGAGTTTTTCCCTACTGTTTTAATGCTTGAAGTCAGTTCTTTTACTCCACCAGTGGTTATGATGTGGGCAGGTGAATGGGGACTTGCCGGTTAAATTGACTCTGTGATTACATCAGGGCTCAGATCTTCCACCGCAAGAGAACAAGTAGGATTAGGTGATTGCCTGAGACTTGACTTTTCACGCATTGCATGTTGCAGAGAGAAGGGTATAAACCCAAGTGCTGCTTCAGAACGTTGTGCTATGCAGAGGTGGTCTTCAGCAGGTTCTGACCAGTTCTGGAGAACTGGTAGCGGAAATTTTGAGTAGTTCAGAGAACCAGCAAATACCACCTCTGACTGGAGATTTTACAGTAACTTTCCCCTTATGCCCACCAAGCCACGCCCACAGAACCAGTAGTAAAAAAAATATTGAATCCCACCACTGGTGCTATGTAAACTTCCAGTATATAGTCTTTTCATCATTATGACTCTGGACATTAGCTGGAAGGTACTGTATTTCAGTGCCATTTGATGCGATTTCTAAAGTTCAAATTGAGAACATTTAACAGTGTGTGATTTAAGTGGTACACTTGATTTCCCTGGCTCCGTTTCTTCTCCATGGATGTTGTTCTCCCCTCTTTTGCAGCCTCCTTTCCCAATCATATTTTACAATCATATATTAAACCGACTTAATCTATGTGATCTTCCTTACTGAGCTTATAAGATTCATCTTACGGATCTCTCTCTCTCTCTCTCTCTCTCTCTCTCCCCCTCCCTCCCTCCCTCCCCCTCTCTCCCATCCTCCCTTTCTCTCTCTTTTTGTTAGCTAGCTCAATCAGAACATTACCTTATTCCTTTACACATTTAAAGCTTACTTTGCAACTTATTTTAGCTTGGATTGAGCTTCTTTTGTGTGGCCTTCATCATCATTTCGGGTTTGAGGTCTGCCTTGCCAACAGCGAACAGTTGATTTGTCAAAAGATGAGGGATGACGACAGCCCTCAAGTGTTCCAATCCCATCCCTGAATTGGAGTTCCAACTATGCTGGAACTCCAGCACAGAGTGGGACTTGAAGGATTGTGTTGCAGCTCCTTGTGGAACTCCAGGCAGCTTGACAGGGAGTTTTTTCTTCCTGCTGGGTTGCAGAGGATAATATTTTGAGAATGGAGGAGGAATTGAGTACTTTCAGAGTTTCTGGGAGTGCCAACAAAGGGGTTAAAGTGTTGCACTTTTCACCCATTCTGCACAGAGCCAGCCATACCTTCTTCCTGATGCTCTGTTCTGTCGTCTGACCAAATTTCTCCTTTCTTGCCTCTTTTTTTTTTTTTTGGTACTAAATAGCATCCAAAACTCACGGGCTGTTTGGCATATTTTACTCAAAACAATTTAAAAATAAAGATGTCTTTGAGCAAAGTCCAGGATTTTATGGAACATACTGATCCCTCATTCTTGTTTCTTGTTGGCTTATCTTGGATCCGTCTTGTCAGGGCTCACCTGGTGAGTTTGTTGTTAAAGGGAATGGAGGCAGCTTTGAATGCGGCTCAGATTCCTACTGGCTGGAAGTATTCCAGCCAGGGAGCAAGTAGGGCAGAGAGAGAGAGATGCCTGGGTGTAATTTTCAGAGCAGCTGCCAGTCACCGCAGATACAGATAGATGCCGTAGTGATCTAATGCAGCCTTTTTTGTAAGTGGCTTCATTCATTCATGTCTGTTGGATCGAATCGGTGGTGGTGGCGGAACAGCAGCGGGAGGTAAAGGAGCTTGTGCTGGGAGTGAGTAACTCAGGCTGCCTTAATGCAATTTGAGTCCAAGGTAGCAAGAGTTTTAAATTGCTTCCAAATGCATCCATTAGCCTCGACAGAGCATAAGGACAGACGTCCACAGATGTTCTCATTTTAGTGACTGCATAACTGCCTGTCTGTTTAGATCAGTAGGAGGTGTCTCTCTGGGTTACATCTTGCGTATAAAGGGTAGGTTAGAAACGTCCACTGTTAGATTGATTTAATAGGAGGGAAATGTAAAATAATGAAACGCAGTTCTAAGAACAGCTAGTATAAAATAGTTATATCTGGTTTTTCTATCTTTATAAAAAAACGTTTGTGTGTGTGTGTGTGTGTGTGTGTGTACTAAGCAATTTCAACCAAACTTGGTACACAGATGACTTACCCTTTGGAAACAAATACTGTGGGGGTAAGACACCCCTGACACCCATTGGGGGGGTGTGCGCCTTAAAATGGCTTCTACTGTACAGCACAGTGGACTTGCCATGGTAAGGGCTTCACAGTACTCCACAAGGCGCTCTCTCTCTCTCAACCCTCCAAGGAAATGTCAGGCGATTGGCCAACACTACAAAAATGAAACACCAGCATAGACAAGAAACTCCTGAGGAGAGAAATAAAAGACTTGCGATGCTGCATGAGAGACAGTACAACAGCCTGAGTCCCGACTACAGGATTTTCCTGTCTAATACTGGATTGGGATAAATAAATACCTCGGCAATGCCAAGTTATCGGCTAGTAATCATTATTGTTTAAAGTCAACCTCGGCTTACGGCCACAATTGAGTCCCAAACTTATGTCACTAAATGAGACAGTTAAGTGACTCTTGCCCAATTTTATGACCTTTCTTGCCCCAGTTGTTAAGTGAATCACTCCAGTTGTTAATCACATAATTAAGTGAATCTGGCTTCCCCATTGACTTTGCCTGTCAGAAGGTCACAAAAGGTGATCACATGACTCCGGGACACTGCAACCGTCATAAATATGAGCCCATTGCCAAGCGCCTGAATTTTGATCACATGACCATGGGGATGCTGCAACGGTTGTAAGTCTGATAAATGGTCCCAAGTCACTTTTTTGAGTGCCGTTGTAATTTCAGTCACTAAAGTTAAGTTGAGGACTACCTGTATTTGTAAGATTTCCAAGTGATTAGGGTTGTCTTCTGCTTCCACCACTGCCATCTCATGCTTAATTCCAAACTGTTGCATGACTGCTACAAGAAGAATAGAATAGAATTGGAAGGGACCTTGGAGGTCTTCTAGTCCAGCCCCTGCTCAAGCGTCCACGATTTCTGAAGGCAAGCTATCCCACTGGTTAATTGTCCTCGCTGTTAGGAAGTTTCTCCTTAATTCCAGATTGCTTCTCTCTGATCAGTTTCCATCCATTGTTTCTTGTCCTGCCCTCAGGTGCTTTGGAGAATAATTTCTTTGTGGCAGCCCTTCAAATATTGGAATGCTGCTATCATGTTGCCCCTAATTCTTCTTTGAGTGACTGAGTGAAATACAGAAGGTACAAGTAGAAATGGGTTGGTAACTTGTAGTTTTCAGCTTGGATATGACCACTTCATCTACTTATTTTTAATATTTATAACCTGTTTTTTTTCTCTAGCAGGTTAAGATAACTTACATGGGGAAATTCTGTGACTTCGATGGACTAAGACATTGACTGGCCCAAAGTCACCTAGTGAGTATCCATGGCTCCAGGTGGACTTGAACTTCCATGGTCTTCACATAAGATCTATTCTGCCACACACTGGCTCTTTCATTGCTACCTAATAAGCTTCTTAAAATGAGCTTCATTTGAAGACAGAAGCCTAGTCTTGAAGCACATGCTCTTAACAACTAATCACCTTTCCTTTGTGCAAGGGAAAATTACCTCATTTCAAAGAACAGAAGAAAAAAGAATTGTGTAAACTTTGGTGCTTTTTTTTTTAAAAAAAAGCACTTTTCAGAATCCTGATACAGCAGAAATTGTCTATAGTCAAATTTAATTAGCTCTATATGCTTAATTGGCTCTTTATTCTTTGGCTCTGTATCCCTTTTTGCTTTTTGAACAGATAGTGAATGAAACAAATTATTATTCAAGGAGACTGTCGTCTTGACATCAAGAAGGCCTATCAAGATGACCCGGCATTAACTGATCTCAGAATAGTGTTGGAAGACAGTGCATTAGAAATAAAAAAGGAACACTGGGGAACCCATGAATGAGGGGTTTCAAAACAGCACACAGTAGAGATAACCTTTTCAAAATTGACCATAATTGATATGTGGCTCTAGCTAAATTGGGAAACCAGCTTGTATTCCTTCAAGTGCTAGAAAATTGGTCTGTAGTTAGACCCTCATTTATCCTTTGGTTTTGTGGTATACTTCCTCTAGAATGGAATAAAACATTTGAAAAGGTAACATAAGACTGTAGGACAAAACCCTTTGAGAACAAAATTCTGGCAAAATATAGAGATCGCTGTCGCAGAGAAGCAAAAACAATTTTGCATTTGTTTTAGCCAACAGTTTTATCAACGTCGACAGAGGGTAATCTATTACGACATGCCTTTACCAAATTATGGATATAAATCTATAAGAAGTGGAGCAATGACTATTTAATGGCTCTCTTTTAGTCGTGAGAGTTCAATAATTGCATTCAACGTCAGGTTGCAAAGACACGAGGGTCGAAGTTGTATTGTGACATCGCTACACATGTGCCCTTTTGACATACATTTGGTTTGCAGTGCTGCTTGGTTTTCAAGCACGCTTAATTAGGAGTTCACCCTATTGTCTTTGTATGTCCTTATGGTGTCTGCTGTAAAATAGAAATCCATAGAATTTTTATGCATAATATTTGAAATCTGCCTGAAAAGAAACTTGTCTTTCTTCCAAATTATTTGGCAAGTCTGCCAGCAGAAGGAACTCTGATGTCCTAAAACAGGAGTCCCCAATCCCTGGCTGTACCGGGCGGTGGCCTTTTTGGAATTAGGCTGCATGAGCAGCTTGGAGCAACTGGCCAGGGGGCCCCCACTGCTTGTTGCAAGTTGATCTCTGTGTGTGCCAGCCTGCCACTTGTGCAAGGCTTTTATATGTGCATGCATGTGCACCAGCCCATCAGTCACCCGGTCCAGTTCCCCCCCTTTCTCCCCCCCCCTCAGCTGGGCCACCCTGTCCTAAATGGTTCCCTATATCTGCATGCTAAGAAGCCTTTCAAGACCTGAGTCGTCCCATAGCATTTTTCTTTCTGCAATGATCGTTTCTTCAGAAAGGTTCGCTTTTGAATATTAAAGATTGCGTGCCCAGGTGAGGCCACTATCTGCATCCAGGGCATCTTTGAAGGAAAGACGAATGAAGTGGCCACTTCCCCTTGTGGGTCTGAGCATGCTTTGATTTAGAGGACGATGACAAAGCTATGTAGGGCTGCCACGGTTCCCTGTAGGGGGAAGGAGATGGTATGACCTAGTTGTCAGGTGTGATTGTGCCTCTGCTTCAGAAATACTTGAATGGTTCTGACAGCTGACAGCACCTATCTTGCTGGCTGGGAAAGGTCTTTGTTAGAAAGAGTGCACTACAGACTGGATGCCCTTAAGATGAAGGCTGTATAGTTGAGAGCGCCTGATCATCAGAGCTGGAGGAATGCATCTGGTAAAACTTCTGAAAATATGGTATCATTTGCTCAGTCTTTCATTCTCTGATGCAAGGCTCGGGTATTTGAAGTGGAGACTGGGGGAGAATGATCTTTTCATACCAGCTTTATATCTGGAACTTCTGCTAAATTGCCCAATTGTTTGATGCACACCTAACTATCCTTTACCTTAATCCACAGAACATGAGTAAGATACTGGCTCTCACCCAACGAGATCAGCACAAATGAGTGCATTAGTCTTTAATATGGTCCGCAGAGATGGTTTTGTTTGTTTTGCACCAGCTTAGTACCTCTGGACATGCCCAGGAGAACTACTCTACAGTCACTTGGGTCATTTAGGACAGGGGTCTCCAACCTTGGTAACGTTAAGCCTGGTGGACTTCAACTCCCAGAATTCCTTTGCTGGCTGGGGAATTCTGGGAGTTGAAGTCCGCCAGGCTTAACGTTGCCAAGGATGGAGACGCCTGATTTAGGAATCACTAAACGAGAGACTTTATGCTTTTTATACCTTCCAAAAAATGCACATTGGCAGCTTTCATGTTAACTTGTACTGGTTGGGTGTGATATAGTAAAGCCCTTTTTTTGGTTGCTTAATAGGAAACTTCTTTCATGGCAACAAGGCCCGATCTGCCCGGATTAGCTTCTTTCCCTTCCATAGGTCCCAAAGCAGATCCTCCCCTGATGCTACTAGCAGCCTGATATTTGCTTACACTTCTACACTTCAAGTCCTAGGCTTGTAAGGATCTGGAGGAAAGGGTTGCCTAGGGGATGTGCACAGCAGTGGAAGTTCATCCAGTGCTGCCAACTGTAGTAACAGCCTAGGCCCCAGGAGGGTAAGTGGTGCATTCAGCTCGGTCGGGGAGTGACTTCTCAGCAGATGCTAGTGGCAATCTTTTTTGTTGCCTTTTTTAAAGAAGGCGGTTAATGGGATGGGCAATGGCTAGAACCCAAAGAGTGGTGGGTGCCTGGTCACAGAGGTCGTCTTTGTGGTCAAGTTTCTTATTGTCAAGAGATCAGCATGGATTTCAGAAAACGGGGAGAGTTGTTTGCCCAAATAAATAAATCAACAAATACCAACTACAGATTTTCTCAATGTGCTTGTGTCCACTTGTAATTCACATGTCTGAACTCTGCATTTTTTAACTGCAGCAGCTGTTTCCTTGGTGCAACTTTCTTGGCAGCCCTCAGTCAAGCTACATGGGTGGGAGAGATGCATTTTTGTGGTCCTGTAACTGCAGGCCTAGAGTGAAATGACAATTTATGAATTTAGGTTTTGGGGGCTTTTTGACTAAAATAAAATAGAAACACCCCCCCCCCCCTCCAAGTCCATAGAGGTTCTACATGGCTTAATTTCAGTGCAGTACTAAAATATGTTTGAACCTTTACAACTGAACGCTCTTTAAAGGTATTCTGCACCCAAGAAATCTTATTTGACTTGGCATAGAAAGGCCGTTATTCCTGTCAGTGCTTAATAGTTTTTGTAATTAACCTCTGTTTGGTGCAAGTGCAAAGTTGACCACTGATGATTCTCCTGACTGTGATCACCTCCACCGTCCAAAGCAAAACGAAAAATTTGATCCACGATCAAATAAGGTTTCTCAGGGGCAGAAAACCTTTAAAAAGTTGTATGTGTTCAGACATTCTTTAGTGCTGCCCTGGAATTGTGGAACCTCTATGGGCTTAGGAGCTCCTATTTTATTATTTTATTTCAGACATGCTGCACAGAGAAAAAACAGGATCTTGGACTGAAACCACGAGCTGGGAATATATACAATTTCAGAGCATCAAGTGAAGAACGCTGAGACTGAAAATTTTCTAATTTCGCAAAAGCCTTTTAAAAAGCATGCGTGCATATGCAGGCAGGCCTTTCACTGAGTTTTTGACTCGTGGAGATTGTCAGGACAGCAGGGTCTTTTGGCAGGGTTTTGTTTTGTTTTTCCCGAAGTGGCTTTCCATTGCCTACTTTCTAGGACTGAGACAGAGTGATTGGCCCAAGGTCACCCAGCTGGCTTCATACTCAAGGTAGGACTAGAACTCACAGTCTCTGGTTTCTAGGGTGATGCTTTAACCCAGGGGTCCCCAAACTTGGCAACTTTAAGATTCGTGGACTTCAACTTCCAGAATTCTCCAGCCAGCAGCATAGCAGGGCTGGAGAATTCTGGGAGTTGAAGTCCACAAGTCTTAAAGTTGCTAAGTTTGGAGGCTTCTGCTTTAACCACTACACTAAACTGGCACTCTTTTAAAGGCAGTATTTTTGCCTGTATTCCTTGCAATCCAACAAGCATAGAAATTGGGGGGGGGGGGGGGGGGG